TCAGGCACTGTTGTACTGTTCAGATACTGTTGTATTGTTCAGGTACTCTTGTGCTGTTCAGGCACTGTTGTACTGTTCAGGTACTGTTGTACTATTTGGGTATTGTTCTACTGTACAAGTACTGTTGTACTGTTTAAGCACTGTTGTACTGTTCAGGTACTGTTGTACTGTTCCGGTATTGTTCTAATGTACAAGTACTGTTGTACTGTTCAGGTACTGTTGTACTGTTCAGGTATTGTTCTAATGTACAAGTACTGTTGTGCTGTCCAGGTACTGTTGTATTTTTAGGTACTAAACATATCCAGAAATGTTCATTGTTACATAACCAATCAGTTTTTTTGTTATCGGACCAATCCACAATGTACCCCGACCTTCTCAGACCCAGCAGACATCTTTTATTGGATAATGGGATTAAGAAGAATGAGTCGAGGTGAAGAGAAAACGACACAAATAACAAAATGACTCCAGGAAACCAAACAAATCAAACTGAAATAGTTCTGAGGAGAACCCATTTTAAACCGGACCACAAGGTTCTATTAGACCAGAAGAGAGGGGTTCGTTTCAGACTAAAGTGCAAACCAGGTCTCTCTCCTCAGAGCTCACTGGGATTATTTTTGGAAGATGGAGCATCATGGAGACTAAATCTGTCTATGCTGAAGCCCACAGAACTCAGATTAAAACAATCTGAATAACACTGGACTAGAGCAAGTACAGGAGTAAAACCAAGACTGGAATCGGACCAGAAAATACAAGAATCGAGGCCAGAACCCCACCAAACCAGGACCAGACAAACTGAGGTCTGAAAAACCCACAAATAGAACCAGTAAACGTTTCCTGTCTGATCTAAAAGCCTGACCCTCTGGTTCTGAGAGGGGATAATCAGTTGGGGGTCCGGTTGTTGTTTTGCCTTCTAAACCTTACGACTGATCCACTTAATCATCTGTAAGCTGATTGGTCCTCATGGGGGACGACCTGCAGTACCAAACCTGAGATTACTTAAAACACACACCTCAAAATAAGAGCCACACTCATCTGACTTAAAATAATTTTATTTTGTAGAAAAGAAAAACGTATTTACATTCACAGAAACTTGTAAAATAAAGTCAGAATTAATTATCAGCAGCTGTGATGCCGGCGGATCATCGGCTAAGAGGCGTTTTGGTTTTATTTTTGTTCGTCTGACTCCGGTGAAGTCTCAGGATCAGACTCCGAATCTCCTCACGCTTCTGTCGCACTTGTTGCCGCGGGAACCAGCTTTCCAATCGAAGCGGGAGGTCAAAGTGCACCACGGGGTTCTGAGGAGCCAATCAGAGAGCTGCGTTTAGGCCGAACGGAGCGCGTCCATTTACGTTTAATAACTCTAATAAAAAGTCATCTTTTATGTGAATATTTCTGGCGTCATCGCAAAACAAAAACTCTCCCTTCTCTTTTCTTTCCGAGTTGTAACTACCGATTTAAAGATTTAACATAAACAGACATAAATGTTTATGACAATAAGTTTTCATGTACTTCTTTCTCTTCCGTTTTCCCCTCAGATGTGTGTTGAAGCAGCAGACAGTCGGCTCACCTGCAGGAAGCTCTCCACGTACTGCAGCAGGTATACTCCACAGTCGCTGCTGTTGTCCTGCTGAGGAACTCTACAGTTGCAGCTCCTCATGTTGTCAGAGGTGAAGAGTCGAGGAGTCGTCCTCCGTACCTCCCACTCCACCTGCAGGTAGCTGCCGAGCATCACCGACACGTTATTTAACCCTGAACACTTTGCCAAACAGCTACTGAGGTGCAGAAACTCACTCTTTGATCAGTCTGCAGACGTTCTCGTGATACGACAGCTTCAGAGAGTCCATGACCAGGATGCATGGTCTGAAAAATAACAACAACAATCAATACGTGGTCTGAAAAATAACAACAACAATCAATACGTGGCCTGAAAAATAACAATAATCAGTACATGGCCTGAAAAATAACAACAATCAATGCATGGTCTGAAAAATAACAACAATCAATACATGGTCTGAAAAATAAAAACGATCAATACATGGTCTGAAAAATAAAAAAGATCAATACATGGTCTGAAAATAAAAGCGATCAATACATGGTCTGAAAATAACAACAATCAATGCATGGTCTGAAAAATAACAACAATCAATACATGGTCTGAAAAATAAAAACGATCAATACATGGTCTGAAAATAAAAACGATCAATACATGGTCTGAAAATAAAAATGATCAATACATGGTCTGAAAAATAAAAACGATCAATACATGGTCTGAAAAATAACAACAACAATCAATACATGGTCTGAAAAATAAAAACGATCAATACATGGTCTGAAAAATAACAACAATCAATACATGGTCTGAAAAATAACAACAATCAATAAATATATGGCCTGAAAATAACAACAACAATCAATACATGGTCTGAAAAATAAAAACCATCAATACATGGCCTGAAAATAACAACAACAATAATCAATACATAACCTGAAAAATAACAACAATAATAATACATAAAAAATAACAACAACAATAATCAATACATAAAAAATAACAATACATGACCTAAAAATAACAACAATAGCAATAATGAATACATGGCCTGAAAAATAGCAACAACAATAATCAATACATAGCCTAAAAATAACAACAACAATAATTAATACATGGCCTGAAAAATCACAATAATCAAAACATAAAAAATAACAATAATAATCAAAACTTAAAA